TTACCTTGTTAAAAATTGATATCTCAATTTTCTTATTTTGAGTCTTGTAAGTTTGTTTTCTCTGCTATTCATAAGGTTTTCAGTGACTAAATATTCAGAAGTAGTTCGTTACTCCTTCTTCCTAGTCTGTCTTCGTCTGGCAGCTCATCTGAAACCTCAACCATGATGATCCTGCTGATATTTAAAATACCAGTAGCATAGCTTTCAGAATCACAGCAACTCACAAGCCATCACAGTATGACAAACTTGCAGATGAGTGTGGTGCATAAGGTCACCATGAGTCGGTACCCACTCAATGGCACCTAACAACAACAACATGTTTGTTTTACTTCGTTGTTATATGCTGTTGCGTCGGTTCCGACCCAAAGCGATTCTGTATTGGCATTTCTGAGGAGCAGCTGGTGAGCTTGAACCGCTGACCTTGTGGTTCAAACCAACCTTCCAGTCCAGCACATTAACCCACTGTTTACTTTGGGACTGTTTTACTTTGGGTACTTGTATCTCTGGGTTGAATCTGGGTGGTGATGTCATTCGTGTTAATCCCAAGTTGTCTGTTGTTAGTTCTCGGTCCAAAGAATTCCCTTTAGTATTTTTTTTATAAGGCTGGTCTGGCTTTTACAGATTCCTTTCATTTTTGTTTATCTGGAAATGTACTAATTTAGTCATCAGATTTGAGGGACTGCTTTGCTGGGTATAGAATTGTGGTGAGCAGTTGTTTCCATTCAGTCTTGTATGTATGTCATCTACTGAAAAATCAAAGTTTAGTCTTATTGGTTCTATTTTACAGGTAACTGAGCTGCTCTCAGGATTTTTTTCATTGCCTTTGGTTTGGGGAAGTATTATTATAATATGTTTTTGTGTGTTTCTTTTGGGAACTATCCTGTTTGGAGCTCATTCAGCTGCCTGGCTGCATATCATGACTTTTATGATGCTGTTGTTGTTGTTGTTAAGTGCCATCAAGTTGGTTCCGATACATAGTGACTTCATATAGGGTTTCTGCGGAGCAGCTGGTGAGCTTGAACCACCGACCTTGCAGTTCAAATGGCTTTGCAGTCTGGTGCATTAGCCTGCAGTGCCACACCAGGACTCCTTTATGATGTTAGGGAAGTTTTTTTCCAACAGCTCATCAACAATTTTCTCTGTGCTTTTTTTGGGGGTATGTTTTCTTGTTCTAGAATTCCGATCACATATAAGTTATTCCTCTTGATAGTGTCCCACATAATTCTTAAGCTTGTTGTTGTTGTTTTTTTTAATTGTTTTCTAACAAATTAGTATTGAAAGTTTTGTCTTCAAGCTCACTAACTCGACTTTCCATTGATTTGGTTTTTCTTGGTGTCGTCTGGGATCAGGGAACCTGATCCAGAAGTAGTTTGTCTGAGGTCAGGGTGATTGTTCTCAGAAAACTGTACTGCATCAAGTTAGCCAGCAGTTCACCCTGTTGTCTCCTCTCTTGCTGCTTTTACTCAGCTTCTCCTCGTTGATGTTCAATCCACTTCGTATCCTTTCCTCTGAAGCTCAAGCTTCCAGGAGTCTCATTATGTCTTTCATTTGGTCTGTGTGTCTTTGTTGCAGAGGGTCTTTGTAGCTCCTCTGCCTACACCAGAAATTTGTCCACTTAGTATCTTTATTAATAGTTTAAGGTCATAGCCCAGCTTTTCCTCCACCATTCCCATTAGTAATTTATAGATGAATGAATTTTAAAAATGTAATATATGCAAGGGACTTCAAAAAGTTCATGGAAAATTGAATTTTTAAAAAAAAGGTATTTTTTCCTCAAACTTTTTGAAGCCCCCTTGTACATGCAATGGAGTAGTATTCAGGCCTAAAGAGGAATGAAGTCCTGACTTACGTTATAACTTGGACAAGCCTTGAAAACAGTGTGCCTAGTGAAATTGTATGAGCACATTACAGGAAGTGTCTAGACTAGACAGATGCATAGACAGAAAAGTTTACTAATGCATACAGAGTCAGGGGGAAGGATGAGAGTTATCATCCAAGAGAGACTGAGCTCCTGTCTGTGGTCATGTGAACGTTCAGAAATGTATAGTAGTGATGGCAGTACAACTTGATGACTATAAGTAATGTCACTGAATTATATGATTAAAAATGGATAAAATGGCAAACTTGATATAAATATTTATCACAAAAAAATAAGTTTTTAATTAATAATCAGAAGCTGTCGAGTATAGGAGCACAGATTCTTGGAGCCAGGTTGCATTGTGTACAAATCCTAAGGCCACCATTTGCTCAATGGGGGACAGGACAAATACTTTAATTTTTTTGCCTTAATTCCCTCATCCTTAAATAAGGATGTAGTCTGCGTATTTTAGGATTGTGAGGATTAAATAAATTAGTACAAGTATAAAGTACCAAGAAACCATGGTTGTTTTGTTGTTAAGTGCCATCAAGTTGGTTTCAGCTCATTGTGACCATGTATAGGGTTTCCGAAGAGCGTCTGGTGAGTTTAAACCAACGTCCTTGCAGTTAGTAGTTTAGTGCTTATCGTATAGTTCCACACCAGGACATCATGTGGTTAATAAGTGCTGGCAGTTACCAATATTCACGTGTCTTTTTCAAACTGTATGCTGAGCAAATCATCTGAGAAGCCGGGTTATATGAAGAAAAACATGGCATCAGGACTGGAGGAAGACTCTTTAGCAGCTTGCGATATACACATGATACATCCTTGCTTGCTGAATGTGACGAAGACTTAAAACATTTACTGATGAAAATCGGAGAGCATAGCCTTTGGTATGGATTACATCTCAATGTAAAGGAGCACTCTGGCTGCACCTAATGACTGCCACCAGTCAAAACTGCTATTTTTCTGTCTCCATCTGCAAGCCTGCCTCCTGGCCACCAGCACTCAGACCCTCTCTTTCCACGAGTCGAGAGTCCTCAGCTGCTCTCTCTCTCCATGTCATCATCTCTGCCTCCATCTCTGGTGTCTCTGCTTCGCTGAATAGGGTCCCACATTCTGCTCATGCTCTTCTCCCTTGATGGTGCTAATGTAAGATTAACTACTCCCCACTTTTTGTTACAAAACTTCTACCGTTAGTTACAGTTGCAACATTCGCAATTAGTCATGATAACAGTTACTCACTATTGAATCATAAGAATCTTATCCCCTTCTCTTTTCACCAGACCCATCTAGACAAGATGAAAACTATTCAGTGGGGATTCTACCCACACACACACTCTGAAACTAAACTCTCTCTTGAAAACTTGTAAGTCAGTCACTTCGTGCCTATATTCCTCCCTCCCACCCTTCATTTTAGGTTGTTGTTGTTAGGTGCCATTAAGTTGGTACCGACTCATAGCGAGCAACTCAATGGTTGGTTTGCACAGCAGAACAAAACACTGCCCGATCCTGGGCCAACCACACTACTGTTGCTATGCTTTAGTCCATCGATGCTGCCACTTGGCCAATCCATTTCATTGGGGGTCCTCTTTTTCTCTGATCCTCCACCTTACCAGACCTGATATCCTTCTCCAGTGCCTGCTCTCTCCTGACAGTATGTCTGAAGTATGAGAGACGAAGTTTGGCCATCTCTGACTGCACTTCTTCCAAAATAGATCTATTGGTTCTTTTGGCAAACCATGGCACTTTCAATAGTTGTCCATCCCTATCAACCCTGTGTACAGAGGGCATTAATTATGTTTTATGCTGTAAGTTTTTAATAAATAATCTTTTCTTACATCTACCAACTTAAAGAATTTCCTTTCCATCTCTGGTTTATTCCCAGCCTACCATCTTTAGCATTAGAAGACCATTGGTGACCTCACCCCCAACAGAGCAATGCCAATAAGCCTGGCAGCTGCTCTCCCATCCAAGGACTAACCAGGCCCAACCCTGCTTAGTTTCTGAGATCGGGCGCATGCTGGGTGGTTTGACTGGCCATAGGCTGGTAACTGCTCTCTAAAGCCTTCTTACCCTCTTGAACATCTCTCTGTTTCTCCTGTTTCTCTCCTTCAGGTCCAAATTAGGTCTGCAATTTCTCCAGCGGTTTTTGCAGATACAGAAGGTTTTGTTCCCATCTTGGTCATCAGAGAATGTCTTGATGTTCTTGACCCTTCTTTGTGTGGCCCTGCTGGGTAAGTGCTTTAGCCCAGGCTAGAGCAGGGAAGGCAGCCCTGGTCTGGGGTCCTTTTCCTTTTCCCTAGTGTGTTGATCTGGGGAAGCCTCCCACCTTCCATTCTTACTCATCACTGTTTTCTGATTCCTCCTCGTCTAGAACAACTGGTGATCTACCAGGTGGGCTTGATCCCCAGTCAGTTCTACCAGGTCCTGGGGAGCAAAGACTTGAATGGCTTTAAGAGGCTGACTTTCCTGGCTGTTGTGCTCATTGTTCTCAATGCCACGGTAAGGTCCTCTCCTCGCGTCTTCCTTCCTACCTAGCCTGGTATGAGTGGAACGCCAGGGACCAAGCTGTGGGTGGATGTTCCCTGTCTTTTCTGGAAACCTGAAGATCAGAAGCATAGGTAGAGCATTGAGTTTGCTGTTGGGATCCCTTCCTCAGTGGTTTTAAGCTCCTAAGGCTAGCCATGAGGTTCTGGTTTAATTAAGCATGTCATGGAAATGATCATTGTCCCTTTATTCCTAGAACTTTTGCTTCAGGGAGCTCAGAGTACTTTAGACCTGACATCAGTAGCAAAAGCTGCTGCTCCTTCGGGGGACTGAGCCTGACTCAGCCTAGTACCAGTCACACCGCCCAGTCTTTGCATTTACTGTGTTCTCACCTAGAGTAGCCTCTTCCCCGCTGGCCCTCATGCTCACTTGACTAAAGCTTGCTCGTCTTTCAAGAGACCTCTTCCGAGTCCTCCCTAACTTCCTTCTCCAGGTTTCCTCTACCCCTTCTCTATACAAGGGGACTTCAGAAAGTTCATGGACAAATGGAATTGAAAGATAATGCAGTTGTTCCACACACTTTCAGAAGCCCTCTCATACTTCCCTAATACCTTGCACTAAACTCCTCTGTGTTGCTCTTTCCAACCTTTGTCATTGTCTGTCTCCATTCACCTTTTCCTAGTGCTTAGTAAATGGTGAGTGAAGGTTTCTGTCAGCACTCGAGCCTACTGCTTTCCACCAGACTGTGTTTTCTAGGGGGGCCCTTTCTCATCACACTCAGGTTAAACCTTGATGGCTCTTCAGTCAGTAAGCACCTGTGTATCCAGATCCATGCACCAGGCTTTGGGGATGAAGGAGTAGAACCTAAGTGGAATAGAAGATCGAGTCCCCAACCTGCAGCTCATCAGCCATCAGGATGAGGCAGTAGAAAGACTGTAGAAAGGAGCTCATGTCCCTTTGGTATTTGGTGACAGAATGAGCACATGAGTGAACGAGGAAGGGAAACGCCCGTGACTAGATGCTGCAAGCAAACAGAATGCTGAGTAGACAGCAGTCAGAGTGGGCTGGGGCTGGTCGGCAGAGGCTTCCTGCCTAGTGCTGAGCTTTGAACCCAGACTTGCAGGAAGCTGTCTCCCTCCTCCTCCTCTTCCCCTTGCCTCCCCCACTACACAGCTCAAGAGCTTTGACCAGTTCACCTGCAACCTGCTGTACGTGAGCTGGAGGAAAGGCCTCACCGAGCACCTCCATCGCCTCTACTTCCGGGGTCGCGTGTACTACACCCTCAACGTGCTGCGGGATGACATCGATAACCCGTAGGCACCCAGCCCCTCGCCCACCCTCAATCCTCACTACCCTCCGAGTGGCCCCGTCCATCTGGCTTAGCCCTAGAGAATACTGCTGACATGTAGCTAGAGAGCTGGAAGGAAGGGGCCAGGCCTCTGGGGCAGCTCCCTTTTGTCCACTTTGTGTCCTGGCCTCCAAATGAAGTGCCCTCTGAAGAAAGGGTCCTCGCCAGACTTTTCAGTCCCCATTGTCTCCTCCCAGCTTTTAGCTCTCACATTTATTACTCCCCATTCCCCCTTTAAAATAGGCCCTCTCTCAAAGGGTGCAGTGAGAATAAAAGGGAACAATTTGTATTACGGACACATAGCAAGTGCTCCTGTGTAAGTTAGCTGTTACTTACAGGTGAAGAAACAGGCCCTGAGAGTACAAGTAACTTACCCAGCTCATGTCTCCTTGGGAATGCGAGGCAGGAGTCTCTGGTGGTGAAATGGGCCATATAGGGTCTGCATATGGCACACCTGCATCCCTGCCCCACTCACCACCCTGCCCCCAAACACTTTGTTGTCTAGGGTGACCTTTCCCCTAGTCAAGGGGAACCTCACAGCTAAGTTTCTTGGCAGGCTGCTCTTCCCCATGGCTCCGATCACCAGAAACTTCCTCAGCTGGCTAGCTTAGGTGGGGACAGACACACGTAGAAACTCTGGGGAGGATTGAGATAGCTCAGCTTTCCTGATCTTTCAGATCCACTCATCCAGCCCCAAGTTGGTCTTGGCCTCAGCTCATCTGGCTCAGACCCCTTGATGCTAAGTGGTAAACTAAGACTCCATAAGAAGCCACTCTCCAGAACCCTGTTTAAAGCTCCTAAGAGTCTAGTTGTCTAGGAAATCAGCCTACGTCTGGGTCCATCTTCCAATGGGCTCATTCAGTTAAGAGATCATGTGAAGCTGTCTTGGCTCTTCATGGGCCCCACCACCACCACCACCACCAGCCCAGCTCCCTGGGTCCAGTTACTTTGTGTCGTTGACTATAGGGACCAGCGCATCAGCCAGGATGTGGAGCGGTTCTGCCGGCAGCTCAGCAGCATGGCCAGGCAACTGATTATCTCCCCCTTCACCCTTGTCTACTACACTTACCAGTGCTTCCAAAGGTGAGGCTTTTCCCCTCCACCCAGCCTGGGGTTCCCCAGAGGTCAAGAGCTCACACATTGGGCAGAATCTGCTCTTAGGTCAGGGTCCATGTGAGGTTTGGCTTCCCTCCCTCCCATCTGCACCCCAGGAATCTTCTCACCTTGCATGCCTGGGGCCCCTGCCTTCCCTTTGGCCCCATGGTGTTTGTCCAGAGATCATGGTGCTCTGATGGCTTAGAACCAGTACCAGATGTTCCCACCCACATAGGAGACCCACAGAGCTGCTGAGATGGAACGGGGGCTGCCTGGAGGAGGACAGAGGCAGGGCTGAGACCTCCCTCTTTTTCTCTGGTTTTCAGCACAGGTTGGCTGGGGCCTGTGAGCATCTTCGGGTATTTCATCCTGGGGACCATGGTGAACAAACTTTTGATGGGCCCCATTGTGGCGAAGTTGGTGCAGCAGGAGAAGCTAGAGGGGGATTTCAGGTGTGTCAGGCATGTGGTTAAGGGAATGGGCCCTGGAGAGAGAGCGTCTAAGTTCAGACCCCGGCTGTGTGGTCTTGGGCAAGGCCCTTCACCTCTCTGAGCTTTGGTTTTCTCATCTCTAAAATGGAGCTGTTGCTATGGCCTACTTAGAATGTGAGGATTCATGAGTTTATACACGAGACACTCTGAGAACAGTGTCTGGTTGGCCTTCTCACATGTTCCTGGTTCAGCCATCCTGTTTCGGGTCAATTCGGGCCTGGGAGCTGGTGGGCCCAGCCCCTGCTCCATGCTTCTTGGCCTTCTGCTTCCGGCCTGAGCGTAAGAGGATGAGGTGCTATCTATGGGCAGTGACCTACCCTCCCTCTCTGCCTTTAGAGCGCTGCTGCTCCTCCACCCACCCCTTAGTCAGTCTGGGATAGAATTGGGCAAGGCAGCTGCAATTCTGAGGTGGATTCGAGTTTCCCTGTGTCTGAAGGATTTGATCCAGGGCTCTGTTCTCAGCACATTCCCTTTGGCCTGTCCAGGTTCAAGCACATGCAGATCCGGGTCAATGCAGAGCCTGCTGCTTTCTACAGGTAAGTCAGGAGGAGACCACTGTGTGCTCCCCCCACCCCCCAATTTTGTCAGAGCTGAGAGTGGAGAAGGAAAGTGTCCCTGAGTTTAGGTCTGAGTGTGACCCTCCGCCTGTACCTCTCCCTCTTTCCACTTGTCTGCCTCATCTTTAGATCCAAGGGCTGATTCTTAAGCTGGTGGTGCCCCCTAGTGGCTGGCCGTCGCCCTGTTGTTGTTAAAGTGCTGTCAAGTCAGTTCAACTCTTAGCAACCTTGTAGAGGGTTTCCAAGGAGCGGCTGGTGGGTTTGAACCTCCGACCTTGTGGTTAGCAGTCCTGTGTTTATTCTACAGTGAGTGCCACATGAGGACTCTGGCCTGAAATGAATCAATGCTTCATCATTTGCAGATTACCGTGAGGCATTCCCTCTACCTGTCTGAGTGGCAATGTGTGAGGTGTCTCATGGGAGGGGAGACCTGCTCCCCACAAACACTCTCCAAGTCACCAAAGGGGCCTACTGACAGCAGTGGTGGGCACTCTCTCCCTCCCCTCCAGGGCCAGTGTGTCCCTGTGCACTGCTGATGTGAGACCTCTGGGATCAGTATTGAGACCCATACCGCAAGCCCCAGAGGTTTGTTCAAGTTGTGGAAGGGACTCCTTGGATCACCAGTTCAGAGTAGCCCTGGGAGGAACCTTTGCTTGCCTCTCAGTCTCTGCTGCAGTTCATAGCTGCCACCACTTGTTGTTAAGTGCCATCAAGTGGGTTCCGACTCATAGCAACCCTGTATAGGTTTTCTGAGGAGCGGCTGGTGAATTTGAACCACCAACCGTGAGGTTCAAACTGACCTTGCAGTCCAGTGCATTATCCCCACAGCAGCACACCAGGACTCCAACACTTGGGGACACCAAAAACACTCTGTGGAATCTGGTTGTGGGTGGGCTGGATGTGTGGCAGGTTTACTTTTGGTATCTGCAGCTCATAATGCTGGGACTTTTGCTTTTGTTTTTAATTTTAAGTGCTGTCAAGTCGGTTCCAACTCATAGCAACCGTGTATAGTGTTTCCGAGGAACGACTGGTGGCTTTGAGCTGCTAACATTATGGTCATCAGTCCAGTGCGTATCCTCCAACACCATACAGGGACTCCCATAAAGCTGGAAAAACAGATTCCTTTTTGGCGCTCCCAGCAGGTTTTTCTGTGACCTCTGTGTCCCTATCTGTAAAAGCTGACAGTCTCCTGAGATGCCCCTCTCTCTCTCTTCCACCTTTTCTAGTGGCAAATTTCTGTCATCCTTGAAACCCAGGTCACTTCACCTGGGGGGACTTTTCCACATTCCTTGGTGGTCAGACCTGTCTGTTGCCTTATCCCGGGGCGCAGGCTTCTTGGTGGTCAGCACGTCTGCCTGTCTGTGCCCCCTGTGAGCCTCACCAGCCCAGGCACTGCCCACCTCATGACCCCACTAGCTAACTGACACAGGAGTCTCTGATTAATATTCTCGGCTGCTAACCAAAAGGTTGGAGGTTTGAGTCTGCCCAGAAGAACCTCAGAAGAAAGGTCTGGTGATCCACTTCCCAAAATTCAGCAGTTGAAAGTCCTGTGGAGCGCAGTTGTGCTCTGACACACAAGGGGTTGCTGTGAGTTGGAATCAGCTTCACTAGCAGAGTCTAGCGCGTAGTGACCAGTCTGCGGATGCTTGTTTCATCACTGCAGTAATTATCATCAGTAACTCTAATGCTTACTCTAACCTCTCACCATGGAGTCCTTGGGTGACGTCTTAACCAGCAGCTGAACCTCCCAGAGATGCCTCAGTGTAAGGTGATCTGCTTCCAAAGCTAACAGCCATGAAAGTCCTAGAGAACAGTCTCCTCTGTCCATGTGGGATGTGGGATCGCCAAGAGTTGGATCAACTCAGTGGCAACTCACAACAGCCGATTACAAAAATATTATCAACTCCTCTTCAAGATGGAAAACTAAGACTCAGAGACTTCAGAAACCTGTCCACATCACCCAGTCTGTTTGACTAAACACAAGATCAGCAGCACTGCTGGGAAACCCCATACAGGGCTTCTGTGAGTCAGAACCTACTGGACAGCACTTAACAGAATGGGCTTGGTCTCTAGAGGAGGGCGTGCTGTGGGGGCGGGGTCCCCCTGCTGGCCACATGGACATGCCAGCCTTTCTCATCAGGGCTGGGCACGTGGAGCACATGAGGACAGATCGAAGGCTGCAGAGGCTCCTGCAGACCCAGAGGGAGCTGATGTCCAGGGAGCTCTGGCTCTACAGTAGGTGGAGAAATCCTGGCTCCCAGGGTCCCGAGCCTCAAGCTGGGGTAGTCGCCTTCCCTGCCCACATCTTCCCGCGTGCTCACAGTTACAACAGATTTTCCCTGACAGAGTCACCAGGGGAGCCACTGCCTTTGCCCTGAGTGTTCTCAGGAAGAGGTGGACTCAGGGACCCGCTTGGCCTCCTTGGCTTCCTGCTGCCCATCCCAAGAGCTGTGTCCCCCAAAGAGCACTTGAGTGGTCCAAGTCGCTTACACAGTCTGTCTTCTATAGTTGGCGTAAACACATTTGACTATCTGGGCAGCATCCTGAGCTATGTTGTCATTGCAATCCCCATCTTCAGTGGGGTGTATGGAGACCTGAGCCCCACAGAGCTTAGTACCCTGGTCAGCAAGGTAAACATTCCTCGCGGTGGCCCCTCAGGTCTGCCCCTCGGCCCTTTGGCCCAACAGCCAGGGCTGAGGCTGGCAGTGACTGTCCTCCTCCTCCTCAGAATGCCTTTGTGTGCATCTACCTCATCAGCTGCTTCACCCGACTCATAGATCTCTCCACTACGCTCACCGACGTGGCCGGCTATACCCACCGGTGAGGCTGCATCCAGCCCCTCTTCAGTCTCTGCAAAGTAGCTGAATGAGAAAAGGGACAGAAAGGGCACCATACTACAGTAGTGGGCGTGGGGCAGGAGAATGAGTATAGCTTTCACCCGGGCTCCCCTGCCTCAGGTTGTCCTTTCTTGCCCAGGATTGGGGAGCTGCAGGAGACCCTGCTGGACATGTCCCTGAAGTCACAGGACTCTGAGGACCTGGACGAGAGCAAATGGGACATGGACATGTGAGCACTGGGCTGGCAGCGGGGTGCAGTAGTTGGGAATACAGCTGTGGAATCACTCAGCTAGGTTCACCCTAGAGCCGTGTCCTTTCCCAGCTGGGTGGCAGGGTTGTGAGGATTCCGTGAAAGAAATCGCCATCTTGTGGAGACACGCTGTAAGTGTTCACAGTCACTACTGCTGTTCCCACAGCCACTGGGGTCTTGTACATCATTCCCCCAGCTTCAGGAAGCAGAGCACAAACGTGCCTTCAGGCTGGGCCCAAGTATAAAAACAGAAGTCAGAAACACATCCTTCCTGGGCCTCTTTCTTCTCCCAATGAACCCTGACACCTGCCTGTCCCCAGGCCATCTCAACTGGTGGTAACCCATGTGTGCCTGAACAAAACTCTACTTCGTAGATTTTTTTAATGACTGATTTGTTGGTGCTAGATCACCAGGCCTTTCTTCTAAGGTACTTCTGGGTGGACTTGAACCTCCAACCTTTAGGTTAGTAGTCCAGCACTTCAGTGGTTTGCACCCTGCAGAGACTCCTTGCCTTTCCCCTGGGCGTGCCTATTCTTGTTCCTCAGTTAGACTCGGAGGCATCTTTATTCATGGATCTTTGCTAGGTCTGTAATGCTTTTGACTTTTCTGTAGATTAAGGATTTGTTTCATCTCACTTTTCTTGGGAAAATACTTTTATGTGTCTCAGTTTCTTTTTCCTCTAAAAAGGGTGATGCCAATGGTTAATGTGATTGGCTACTAACCAATAGGCTGGAGGTTCAAGTCCACCAGAGGGACCTTAGAAGAAAGTCTTGACGATCTGTTTTAGAAAAATCAGCTGTTAAAAACCTATGGAGCTCAGATCTACTCTGACACACGTGGGGTCGCATGAATTGGCATCTACTCAACAACAACTCCTTTGGTTGCTTTTCCTCTTAGTGTTGTTATAAAGATTAAGTGTGACAATCTGTGATCTGTACTTAGGTGATGACTGGCCACATAGGAAACACTTCAGTAAATGTGAACAGTGTGAGTTCCAGGACCTACCGTCTCCTTTCAGGAACTCCTGCTCAGAAGTGAAGCTTCATGCATCTGTGTGCCCAGGGACTTTAGGAACTGGTGGCTTTGTTGGGGAGACAGAATCCACAGTGGTCCAGGAGCCCCACAACTGTTGAGAATTATGATCCCCATTCTTACAAATACTCTAACCCCACTGTGACATAATGAAAACACCTGTATTAGAATTAAACAAAGCCAGCTCTGTGCCACCCTGCTCTGGACCTTTGGACAAGTTAGGCACACCTGGTTCTTAGATTCCTCATCAGCCAAATGAGAGTACCTATGAATTGTGGGTGCTAAAATGAACCAATATTCCCAGCCTATTACCTTTGGTGCTCTACCTGCACCCCTTATTCAGAAAGAGAAGCTCCTCCCCTTGGAAATTCTGGTGCCACTGCGCTCCCTGACTCCTCCCCCTTCCCTGACGTCAGGGCGCCGGGGTGGCCTGCAGAGCTAGCAGACACAGCTTTTGCCCTGGAGCGAGTCTCCATCTCGGCCCCCTCCTCGGACAAGCCCTTAATCAAGGACCTGGGCCTGAAGATCTCCGAGGGCCAGAACCTGCTCATCACGGGCAACACGGGCACTGGCAAGACCTCCTTGCTGCGTGTGCTCGGTGGCCTCTGGGAGAGCACTCGGGGTGAGAAGTGCGCCTGTCCTGCAGTGACCCTGGGCATGGGGGAATCCTGCCGCCTTTGTTGGGGAAAGTAGATGATGAGGCAGAGGGAAGAGGGGGCAGTTACCCCTCTGGGAGATCTCAAGATGGAGGGGGGTCTGTGGGCCCTGCAGGCTCAGTGCAGATGCTGACAGACTTCGGACCCCACGGGGTGCTCTTCCTGCCTCAGAAGCCCTTCTTCACTGATGGCACCCTTCGTGAGCAGGTCAGCCCTCCCCTCCCCGTCCTTTCACAACTGGCTCCTGGCAGTGTGGTTGCTGGCAGGTTTCATTCTCTAGGGTGTCATGGGACAGAGGGTGGGATGAAAATGTCCCATGCCAGGAAGCTTGCATTCACCACCCATGACTTGGCCCATGTATTCAGGTCAACTTCTGAATCCCACCTGTTTGCTGAGTACCAGTGCTGGATCCTGGGGTCCCTTTCTCCCAAAATACTTCTGAAGGTTGCATTGACCCTGTATCATCATCTGCCAGCCCCCAGCCTCTCCCATGGGTCCTCAGGTGGAGAGGACCTGGCTTCCCTGGAGGTTCCTGGCATGTTTCTAGGAGAGGGTAGGCTTATGTGCTGATCTCCTCTTGTTGGCCTTCCTAGGCCAATCTGGTTTTTGTTTTATCAGGTGATTTATCCCCTGAAGGAGATCTACCCAGACTCAGGTGAGCTGGAGCCTCCATACTTCATGTCCTCCCATCTCAGTTGTCCCTGCTGTGTGTGACCGTGGCTTCACATGTGCTTTTTGGAAGAGACCCAGCCAACTGCTAGCCTCAGGTTCTATCTGCTCTTCCTCCTTCACCTGTGCACTATTTGGGGTCTATACCTTTATCTCATCTTGCTCTGTCTACCCCTCCATGGGCAGAGATGCCCAGTGGAAGCATGGAAGTAATGCTCTCCTTTCTTCTTGTCTCTGCTGCCTTTCCCTTCTGGTGACCCTGGTCAGCCACCATGATGTGCGCCGCCCATCTGTGTGTCACTTGGTTACCCAGAAGGAGCTGGTCTTCTGAAGAAGCCACCTCTGTTTTGCAGGCTCTGCTGATGATGAGAGGATTGTGCGGTTCTTGGAGTTGGCAGGCCTTGTAAGTGGAGGCAGGGCCCCTGTGATCCAGAGCCCACCTGGTAGCACTCACCTGCCACTTCCTTCCCAAGTGCTGGCACCTGCACAGCCAGACTGTTCTCAGGGTGCAGGACTGGAGGTGTGAGGCAGAAGTGCAGGGGTACACAGCTGAGTGCATGGGCAGAGGTGCTGGGAGCTGTTGGCCCAATACAGACTACAGAAGTTCACTCTGTCGAGAATTTTTAAAGACTAGCAAAGCTGACTCCATCTGTCTGCTCCTACTATCAGCACGCCCCAGCAGTTCTGAGCAGTGCAGGGCACAGACGGCTCCACCTGCTTAGTGTGGACAGCTCCCCCCACCCACACGGTGTCTCCGAGGGATGTGGGGGCTTGGGGAGATCCTCAGGGGGGCAGGAAGCAGCACTGGTCCCTTTCTGAGATAGCATATATCTGGGTCTGTTACAGTCCAGCTTGGTGACAAGGACAGGGGGCCTGGACCAGCAGGTCGATTGGAACTGGTAAGGAGGAGGTTGGGGTGTGCCTGAGCCAGTTACCTGACGATGGCTGTAGTCTCAGGGACCATGACTTCTGACCACAAAGCCAGATGTTTGGATGGTCTGTTGAGGTCATGTTTTATGCCTTCAGGAGCAGAGTTTGGGGCTTACCTGTGTGGGCAGCAGGGCTGTGGATGAAAGGAGTGAGTGAGAGAACCTCCTACCCAGGCCCATTCTAGGCCCAGGCCAGTCTGCAGCCCAGATCACATGCTAATTGCCCTTCCTAGAGGCTGCCACCTGCCCTGTAGTGTGGGCCTTCAGGCTCCCTTCTCCCCTTTCTTCAGGTATGACGTTCTGTCTCCAGGAGAGATGCAGAGGCTCTCCTTCACTCGGCTCTTCTACCTGCAGCCCAAGTTTGCAGGTGAGGACCGCCCGGCAGATGGACAAGCGCAGATTCATGTCCACCTGGGCAAGTATGCACATGGGTAGGAGAGCACACCTGTGCACACTGGGCATCTCTGTGTGCCCTGCAGAGGAGACCCCTAGCCCTCCTTCCCTGCTCTCCACCAGCTTCGAACAGGATCACAAGCCCTTTCCAGAAGCAGCCTTGGATGTTCTAGTACAATTTGTAATTTCGCTGCCATTGCAGCAGCTGGAGCCTGGGAGTCAGCTTGAGGGACTGCAGCAGGCCTTTGATCTCTACCTGCTGGTTCTGTCCTCAGTGCTTGATGAAGCCACCAGTGCCCTGACAGAGGAGGTAGAGAGTGAGCTGTACCGCATCTGCCATCAGCTGGGCATGACGTGCATCAGCGTGGGGCATCGGCGTAGCCTTGAAAAGGTACCCATGCCCCTGAGGAGGAGAAAGAGCCCAAAGACTGGGCCTGGTTGGGGCCAGAGGTGCCTAAAATGGGGAGAAGGGTAATCAAGAGGGCTAGGGCAGCTTGAACTCTGTGTGCTAGTGGCCTATCTCTTGTAGTTTCATTCCTGGGTTCTGAAACTCTGTGGAGGAGGCAAATGGGAGCTGACCAGAACCAAGGGAGAATGAAGTCAAGGATGCAAATGGCCACTGGAAGGAGAGCCAAGCTCTGGTAGACCAGCAGATTCCAGGAGAGACCAGGTGGACTGGCCTGGGAAGGCATGAGCCTCGGTTTGCCTCACTGGTCCTGGGAAGGTGGGTGTAGCCAGCAGTCGGCTCAGCCTGGTGAGGCCTCCATGAGGCATCCAGCCTTAGTCAGAGCACCTCCCGCGCAGCGTCCTTACCTGGGGCCTCTGTGTACTTGAAGTGCTGATTACTTCCAAGTGACTTCAGATTGTGTTTCCTAAAGAAAAATCTTAACATGTGAGATCTACAAGAAATGAAGAGTCAAAGTGGAAAGAGAACTGGAATCAAGAGATCCTGAAATCTTTGGCTCTTAATTCAGTTAAATTTTGAAATGGTAGATTTTTAACTGTAATTAACTGACCATTT